GAATGCAGGGGAGGATCTACATACAGTCCAGGGGGGCCACGGCCCCCCCAAAATTTGGAAAAAAAAAATTAGGGTGCTCTATTCCTCAAGCCCCCTCAAAAATTTGAGGGGGTGGGGGGAATTAGGGTGCTCTATTCCTAATTTGGGGAAAAAAATTAGTTTGTGAATATTAATTATTTGAGGGGTTTTATGTATATATTGTTAGAAATTTATCAAAATAAATTAAGATTATATCTTGAAATAAATCCGAAATCAAAATAAATAAGAGATAAGAAAATCAGGCCTGACGGGAGCAGTCGTGTATTCACTGCCCTAGAAGATTGAGGACCCGCCTATCGTCCTGGCGCAGATGATCCCCTCTCCCCTAGCGGTAAAAACCCCCGGAATCGGCCGGCCTCCGTACTCGGGCGAGAGTACAGAGCTTCAGCTCAGATGAAAAGATTGCCCAAAAAATTAATAACAAAATTTATAGAGGGGAAAAAACAATTTTCTTTAAACCATAGGAGAGGAGAAAACTTTTCTTGTTTTTTAGAATGTGAATAAAGGTGTATTTATAGGATTGAGGGGAAGAGGATTCTTTTCAATTTTCCGATGTGGGACTAAAACATTAATAAAGGGGGTTTCATTGAAATTGGAAATTTATGAAGAGGTATTTAGCGAATGGTTATTCTTAAGGGGGTTTAGCGAATGGTTATTCTTAAGGGGGTTTATTAATAAAGGGGGTTATTCTTAAGGGATTAATAAAGGGGGTTTCATTGAAATAGGAAAAGATAATGTATCTTCACTCCATCGTAATGCTGAAGAGGCATGTGAGGATTTGATGAACCAACCGCAGCATATATCAAGGCGATTCGACAACTTCAATATTGAACAAGTTGCAACAAATCGTCTTCGGGTAAGAGTTCACATACTTGTGGTGTGATTGCTTGCACTCCAAGGGATTCCGTTTAGAGGCCACGATGAGAAATCTAGTTCGTTCAATCGTGGCAATTTTCTTGAATTTTTGGATGTGCTGGCCATGGAGAATGACGAATTTTCAAAGGCAATTGCGAAAGCTCCCAAAAATGCCAAATATACAAGTCATGATATTCAAAAACAAATACTTCATGTGTTTTCAGTGAGATTGAAAAATGCAATTCGTGAAGAAATTGAAGTTGCCAAGTATTGCATTATTGTTGATGAAGCCCGTGATGAGTCAAAAAAAAAGAGCAAATGTCTATTGTGTTGTGGTTTGTGGACACTAATGGATTCATTCAAGAAAAGAGCATTATTGTCAAGTTTTATGCACAAGATTTTACAAGTGAAGAAAAAGAGAGTTTGAAGATGCAACTGAAACATTATGAGCATAATGTAGTCAAAGGGTCAGACTTCAAAACTCTTTCAACCATTTCTGAGTTGTGTCAATGGTTGGTAAAGACTAATAAATCTGCTACATACGACCTCATTTTTAGAGTGATCGTACTTGTGCTTACTCTTCTAGTTTCTACTGCTACTACAAAACGATCATTCTCAGCTATGAATGTCGTCAAAACTAGGTTTCGAAGCAAAATGGAGGATGTTTTCCTCTCCGACGTATTAATGGTGTTTATTGAAAGAGAAATTGCTAAAAGTCTGAGCATTGATGCTATCATTGAAGACTTTAAAAATTTTAAGGAACGTCGAATTCCTTTTAGTTAGAGAAATTTTAGTTATAAAAAAAATAGATGATGCTTATTTGACTATTTTTTATATAATATTTGTCTTCTTCTTTTGAAATATTTTGGAGATATTGATGTTGGCTATTCTACTCGTTTTATTTGGGTTGTGGTATATCTCTTGTGAATAAAATTACATTAAGAAATTTTTTTATCTATCTTTTGTACGCGGCCCCCAAGAACTAAAATCCTGGATCCACCCCTGGATGAATGACAAGACTAGCATGAACTTTGTGGTATCTTTCATGAACATTACTGGAAAGATCACCATGAACTTTCAAAACTGCAGGAAATTGTTGTTCCGTGAACATCTGGGGTAAGAGATCTAAAAATACCATGAAATGTTTTTTAGGAGTTATGACAGACTTCAACTAGCCAATTAGAGGATGTGCACAAAGCGTGTACTTTAGCCATCTAAAACGTTGGACCGTGGGCAAAAGTGGGAAATCAAAAAGTAGAAAATCAAAGAATAGGAAAACAAAGTAGGAAATCAAAGAATAGGAAAACTTGTATTATGTTTATTTGGTTGGCTAAAAGAAGAAGAAAATCAAAGGATATGAGATGAGAAGAGATGAGTTGTCACCATATTATTGGATGATGTAAGTGATTTTTTAAGAAAATTTGTTTTGAGGTTGTTTGGTTGGTTAAAAAAATAAGGAAATGTATTAACGAAATGTATTATAAGAAACATATTTCCTATAATAGGTTCTTTTCTTGTGTTTGGTTCATTCTTAAAAATAAGAAAATAGTTGAGATGAGATAAGTTGTCATTATATTATTGGATGATGTGACTCACACTTAAGGAAATCAATTTCCTTGATTTTTTTTTTTTAGGAAATGGGTGGAAATGAAATGTTAATGAGATGGGATGAGTTGTCACCATATTATTGGATGATGTGCGTGATTTTTAAAGATGAAATGAGATGAGTTGGATGATGTGACTCATTTCTTATGTTTGGTTTATTTTTAAAAGTAAGAAAGAAGATAAGATGTGATGAGTTGGTGGATAAAAATAATATTTTATTAATAAAAGTGTATAGATTTTTTTTTCTTGGGGTGAGTTTTAGGGATGGAAATGAATAAAAATAATATTTTTAATAAAAAAAGTAAAAAGATTTCATTTTCTTGGTTTTTAGGAAACCAACCAAATAGCCCCTTAGTAGCGCCTATATGTTGCATTCATTTTCTAGAGTATTTATTAGGAGACAAAAAACATTGATTTCAATGTGTTAAAATGGCATCCTAAGCTCCTAACTGTACCCACCAATGAATCAGGGACAAACTAATGTTAGTTCACGAGCTTTGTTATAGGGGACCCAAAATATGGGACCAACAGGGGGGGACAAGTGAGATGTCATCCACCTATTGTATAATAAGATGGTCATCATTAATGATGGTCAGCTCATTATGCAATAGGAAGGGGACACCTCACATGCCTCCCCTGTTGGTCTCATATTTTAGGTCCTAAGGGAATTTTTCTTAGTTCATCGTTGGCTTTCGGTCATTGAAAGCACCTACGCTAACTTTGATAGCTCTGAATGCAATAAATACACAATTTTTTCAATTAGCCTGTCAAATTTGAACCATTTTGATATTGCACGCGACTTAGGGTCTGTTTGGTTCTCTGTTTTTGGGTGGGAAAGAACTCAAAAGCTGCCACAGATGTCCCATCTGTGACAGCTTTCGAGCTCCTCCGAAACCAACCAAACGGACCCTTAGAGAACTCTAGTCTTCATGGTGGCCGTACTTATTTCGCTCAAGTCTACTGTTTCCATTAAAATACATATATATGAACAAAGTATCTAAATAACTCATCATTCATCCATTATGGAAAAAAACGTACCACACCTCACAAGTGGCACCTAGGGGCTAGGACTTCAGGTCTTTGCTCAAAAGTCAAGGCTTGATTGGGCTCTATGATACTGTCTATTTCTAATTTCTAATTATTAGACATTACAACAATTATGATATTTATCTAAACATTTGCTACTTATTAGATATTACAACAATTATGCTATTCGGCTAGGCCTCAACTCACTGCGAAATAGGAACATGGCCATGTGATAAACAAAACGTTTTGAATAATGTTCGTGGGACGTTAAAAAACCACTTTCTACAAAATTTATACTTGCACAACTAACACGTTGCAGGGTGTTTGTTTACCCGAAAGTAGGAAGTGAAAGTGTGAAAGTGACTTACTTTTATCACTTTTGATGTTTGTTTTATTGGAAGTGTATGTGAAAGTGAAATACCAAACTCTTGCCACGTAAGCTATAATACAATTTCAACTTACCCTAAAAAAGAGCGGATGTCACATGTAAGTGGAAAAAATGAGGACCACTCTTAATAAAAAAATATTTTCTTAATTAAAATTTCACTTTCTTAGGTTCGTTAACCAGTTTTTTATGCATGGCGGTTCACAACATCTAAAGTTTGGGAATATCATTTTTTCTTGAGTTATCTATATTAGCCCCTTAATCTTTGCTATTTTATCTAGTCTCTCAAATTATTGAAATTGCTATCAAGTGCATCAATACTTATGAGTTGTTGCACAATTAATCCCTTGATTCCTGAAATTACTATTACATTCTTCAATTTTTGTAAGTTCTTTCAGATTAATCCCTTTAGTCAAAGTCAATAGCTAATAGCAAGATATAAGAATCGAGGGACACATTTGCAATTTCAGTGAATTGAGAGACTAGTTCCCGAGCATTAAGGATGTAAATGACTATGATAAAAAAATCCTTATTTTTTAATTTAAGTATACAATCTGTAGCTGTTGATTAAATCTGATAAGGGGTCTTTACATGATTTTTTTTTTCAAGTTGTTATGCTATGAATTAAATTTCCTATTTTTGTGTTTAATCGTGCTACTTATGTATTTTTAAATGCTGACTACTTTTTGCAATTACCAAAACCATTTAGAATATGATATGGTTTTTAATAAATAAATAAATATATGAAATGCCACATCATCTTCACTATCTTCACTTTTCTACTTTCTAACGATAACTTACTTGTGTAAACAAACACTGTGTTTCACTTACATGATGACATGGATGCATTTTCTCACTTACGAAAAAAATGACTTTCACACTTTTAATTCACATTCAATTTGCCAAACACCCCCTTAAATGGAACATATTTCACATCACAATAGAACGGAAGAGGAAGAGGATTAGATTTTTGTTTCATGGCAGGATCAATCACCTCCATGCAAAATCATCAAGAAATAGCCAATTTTCAATTAATCAATAAAAAAATCACATAATCATGCACATTAAAAATTTATAATCCTATCAGAAATAAAAGTAACAGCCATATTAACTAAAATAAAATAAAACATTCTAACGTGACTTATCTCCCTCGCTTACAGCACTCTTTAATGACTTTTTTTGTGGGGTTAATACGACGACATTCTATCATAAATCTCAAAAGGGAATCGTGATACATGGTAAGAGATGCATTGTAGTCTGCGAGATCCCAATAGTATTTCCTCCAACATCAATTAAACACCTAATCACATTTTAGTAGGGGATCCCATTAACAATCAAAAATTATCAAGAACATATACAAATGATAGTGGTACATTCTCTACATCAACCTCTAACAATAGCAACTCAAATACCTCAAAAAGCACTGCCTCCTCAATCTCCATGGGCTTTGTGAAGAAACGGTTCGTCTCATCAGACTTTGCTCCTTCCAATCCTTTTTTGTCCTTTCCCTTTCTGAACATTCTTCAAGCCAATTACTTTCATTAATCTTTCAGCGACTCTTAAATTGTCTGTCAACAACTCAAAGATTTCTTCCCTATAAAAACTAGGGATCCACTACATCCTTGGTTGCAGAAAATTCTTACGATTTGATTATATTCACCAATGACATATATTTGTTCTGTGAACCCATAAATGACGTCGTTGACATGAATTACGAAAACATATTTTTAACCAAGGGACCCACTGAACCAGGCAACGTTACTTATAAACATAACTAACAGTAGGATTTCTCTATAAGCCATCAAAATTCAATGCAGCAACTGATGAACCCTAATCACATCCCAAGCAACCCTAGCAACCCCACCATTTCTACCCGCAGCCTCCTCAAAAGTCCTCCCACCTCCATCCGAAGGATACTGAACCTCCTTCGACCTCTCAACCTTAAGGTCTGTAATATCCACAATGCAAACCCCCACATCCTCCAAATTCTTCCCTTGCCATCGACCATCAACCTGAAACACCTTCCCTTTCCCCACCTCCTTCCCTTCCTCATCAACCACCATAACCATCGCTCCCGGTTTTAGGCTTTGATGAACCCTGTGCTGTGATTTAAAATCTGTATTAGGGTTTGGTTTGAGAATACCTGTTTTGGAGGGGGGGATGTCAAGGTCTTCGTTGGCGCTGTCGGGGGAATCACAGAAATGGGAAGTGCTCGGTCCACAGGTTTTGTCAGAGTACGGATTTTCACCTTCTGACGGGCCACGAGCTTCTCGGGCAGCACGGGCAAGTCTAGCTTTTCGATTGTTTAGCCTGAGACAAATGTACAGGATGAGAGATATTTTGTAACATTTTAGGAGAAAAATATAGAAGAATGAACTTACATAGTTAAAAGAGTGCAAGAAAGAAGAATATGTAGCATGCGATCCACTAAAGTTAAAATTTAAAGTGCTTTAGATATCATAGATTAAGTTGAACGAGTAGATATGTGACATAAATGATCCGTAGTGATGAATCTGAAATGTAATGTTTTGCCTTTAAATCCTTTCAGCAACAACCAAACCTCTATTCTATTTTTGTGATGAGGGGTCTAAAGGAGTGTGTGTGTGTGTGTGTGTCTGTGTTCCCATCTACCAACTCCATGATGGTTACCACCAAATGGATGATACTTATAATTCACCATCTACCAACTCCATGATGGTTACCACCAAACAGATGATACTTATAATTCACCCTAATCTAAAAGTCATGAAAGTCGCATTCATAAAAATATATGCATTATAAGTTCTAAGACAACAATTAAATGGCTCATTTCCTCCTATTTAATACATTTGTTCAATCATTCAACCAGTCAATGAATGTGATAGAAGCACTCAAAACAAGCAACATTACGTCGTAATTTAAAAGATATAAATCTCAATGCTAAACCACTTTAGGATTGTAAAATAAGTTATTAGAAACCTACCAGTTCTTTAGCTGAGAAGGTGTTATCTCTGATCCCTGGAAAGGGAGAAAGCAGAAATGAAGAAAAGAGAACTCAGAATTAAGTGAAGCTGATGCGATTAAGAGTTGAGAGGAACTACATACATTGAAAAGAAAATGGTTAGTCTACAGAGAATAAAAATATAAATCCTTAGAAATACCTCAGCACTCAAGGTATCTGCCCATGACTGCAATGAAGCTGAGTTCCGTTGCATGTCAGGCTCGTCCACAAGAGCCCCTTCAATTAAATTTACCTGTCTCTCACTCATGATATTCCGCTTCCTTTTCCTATGTTGCTTTTCATGAATATTGTCAACTTTTTCATCATCTTGCAAACCACTTCCTTTTGCGTATTCTGAGGCTTTACAAAACTCCCCACTATGATAAATCATATCAACTTCACCCTTTGTTTCAAACTTCCGATTCTCTTTCTCAATACCTCTTAACAATTCAGCCACGCCACTACTGTCAGCAAGTACATTCTTCATTTCATTTTGATCTAACTCAACGTCATCAGGTCGGTCTTCAGGCTTGATTGTTATAATGTACTGGTCTAACTCTCCTTTGAAGTTTTGTGTTCCTTCTTGAGCACTGATATTTAGCCTCCCCAAGGTAGATGATGCACCTTCTTTGGTATTTTGAGCATCCTATCAACAAAATCATCTTAAGTGGCTAAATT